AATTTTGATATGACTCATATGGAATGTTAACTTCAATCAGATTATATGTTGAGTAAAATTTTAAGATCCATGATCCGAATAACTATGGGTCAGATAGGGTGAGAGAACTAGTAGTGTAATTACAAATTCGACTAGATATTTGATGGGAGACTGTTAGGTTTGAAGCTAACATGATCTGAGAACGAGAACAAAGACTCAGTGACCAAGACCAGTAAGCTAGTGTTAGCGGAACATAGATTGGATTAAAGCATGCTCAATGCACAATTGCTTTGGTGCACGCTGATTGGCTAATTCTTGTCCAACCAGCACTGGTCGATACTTAGAGAACACCCTAGAATCTTATGTAAAAACGATAAATATACTAACGTTTTCCCTATTGTGCTTCTTACTTCCATCTAACCTTGTTATTTGGAATATAATCTCTTTCCTGCTCAACCGTGTTCTGATTTGGGGACTTGTCGAGTGAATCGGTGTCCGAGAATACTAAGCAATAGGAATAGCTGGGTCATAACCGTAAGAAAGAGATTATAACAGCTAGCTATTTGATGCGTCCCAGACCCGCTAACTAGAGGGAGAAGTCCAAGCTTGGAATGGGAAAGTATACTCTGCAAACAGCCAGAAACGAGCGATAACAACAAACACAATTCAAAACGTATATATACAGTGCAAAACCGTCCTTGGGGAGAGTTACCAAAAAGCATACTAAAAGACGCAACTGACCAATAGCATTTAAGATATTTCCCAGTGGGAAATAAGACATGAAGGTAACAAGAGCGCCTTTGGCACGAAAACAAAGAAATTCAAATTTTCTAAATAAAATTACAAAATTAAGCCATTTCTAAGGTGAGTTCTGGGTATCTAATGTCCTCAACAGAGACTATAATGTGCAAAAAAAGTTGGTAAGATAGAATAAAGTGTAATGAATGAGAAGTGAATGAATAATTTATTTGGTGGGTTAATAACGATGCTAAACCAATAATAATAGTAATACAGATATATATGTGAATAAAGATAACATACATATATTAGTCTTTTAATATGACGGGGACACTCAAACAATGACAGAGACAGTTATATTTGACTATGAAAGGCTAAGATTACTTAACATATAAACACTAACAATCCTAAATTCACATGTTATCAGTCTGAACGAGGTAATTTACTCTTAACATGGCCGATTCCTTGATTATCAATCTGGATATATAATTGTAGTAATACAGCCTAGGTAAAATTTGCAGTGTGGAAGAAGCCTCAACACTATGGAGACTTCTTCGACACTACGGCGTGCCTCAGAAGGTAGTCAATACCATACGGAGTTCCTATGTTGAATTAAACTGTAAAATCGTGCATGGATAACAGCTCATAGACTCGCTCGAAGTAAAGATCGGTGTCAGGCAAGATTGCTTACTCTCACCCTTCCTCTTTCTCCTAGTGATCAACTGGATCACGAAGACGTCAACATCTGAAGGGAAACACGGGATATAGTGGACATCTAGGATGCAGTTGGACGATCTAGACTTCGCAGATGATCTGACTCTTCTATCCCACACGCAACGACGAATGCAGGAGAAGACGAACAGTGTAGCAGCAGCCTCAGCAGCAGTAGGTTTCAACATACAAAAAGGGAAAAGCATGATTCTCCGATACAACACAGCATGCACCAACCCAATCAAAATTGACGGAGAAGCTTTGGAAGATGTAAAAACCTTTACATATCTGGGCAGCACCGCTGATGAAGGCGCGGGTCGGCAAAACAAGAGCAGCATATTTACGACTGAAGAACATCTGGAACTCAAAACAACTGTCAACCAACACCAAGGTCAGCATTTTCAATACAAATTTCGAAACTGTTCTATTGTATGGGGCGAAAACGTGAGAAGCTAGGAAAGCCAACATCCAGAAGGTACAAGTGTTTATTAACAGTTGTCTACTCAAAATACTTCGGATCCGTTGGTCGGACACTATTAGCAACAACCTACTGTGGGAGAGAACAAACCAGATCTCAGCGGAGGAAGAAATCAGGAAGAAGCGCTGGAAGTGGATAGGGCACACATTGAGGAAAGCACCCAACTACGTCAAAAGGCAAGCCCTCACATGAAACCCTCAGGGCCAAAAGACGAGAGGAAGACCAAAAAACACATTACACCGATAAATGGAGACAGACATGATAAAAATGAGCAAAAATTGGATAGAACTAGAAAGGAAGGCCTAGGATAGAGTGGGTTGGAAAATGTTGGTCGGCGGCCTATGCTCCGTTGGGGGTAACAGGCAAAAGTAAGTATGTAAGTAAAATTTGGATGGATGAATACATTAATAATTTAATGTACACCACCTTTCTGACTGAAATTGATCAAGTCAATCATTTTTATTTAAATCAGGTCATTATCAAACTGTTTAAACAGGTGATTACAGTAAATCAGATTAGATATTTATTAATACAAATGCTATTGTATCAATATTTTACCATTCGTAATGATGTTAATACATTAAAGCACAGTAGTTATTGAATATTATTCATATTACTAAATGTAAATTATTCGAAGTGATGAATAAATAAACTTAATTGGTTATGATAACATATATTTCATATCCCACGAAAACCTATGTAGTAGAGGGAATAATACCATCTAACCAAACGAGTGTATTTTTTTAGAAAGGTTATGTATGTTGCAAACTGTCTTACCGTCAACTGACTGATATAACCTACAGCATTACTAAATATAACAAACATTATCATGGCAAGCATAGTAAAATAATCCCGAACTTAGGACTAATTACCTACTCAATACTCACTAGTTTCCAGGGTCTTTCACGTGAATGAACAGCATTTTAATGAAGAAAGAAATTTCCCTTATATTCACTGCTATATCTTACACAACCATCTGATATTTGATTAAAACAATGGTAAAACCGACATACTAAATTTTTTGTAAGCAATGATGGATAGTGGCTAGCAGTGGAATCCGGGACGCGCGTTTCGTCCTATTCGGGACTCGTCAGGTGGACGTACCTGCATCTCAGAGTTGATGTTCACTCTGGGACTGGAACCCAGTACCATTCGTATTGAACGTCATCGTGTTATCCACTGAGCTACTAAAACCTGATAGCCACTTCTATGTGCAACGGGGTGAATTTAAATTCACTTGGCATTGTTTGGCTTGAATCTTCTTCCCATTGAGGTTGAAGACTGCAATTGATCAATCTGTTATTGGCATATGTGCATACTGTGTGTATGCCAATCACAGACTGATCAATTGCAGTCTTGAACCTCAATGGGAAGATGCAAGCCAAACGATACCAAGTCGACATACTAAATGTTTACAGTTAGTTGATGCCGATTAAGAGAAATACTTAATCACGAGCTTTAAGAGGTTATTACATTCTGTTTCGTCACCATTTAGGAGTACCACATGGTAAAGCTGTCACAGAGACATATGCCATAATCTTTAAATTTATGATTAGAAGTTACCCTTGAATTACTGACTTGATTTAGCTATACTACAGCTAACGTAAAAAGGGTAATGATGATTTTTTTAAAGAACTGGATGTCGATGTTGGTAACTAATGATTCCCTATCCTCAAAGCCATTTGACTAAAAGCCCTAAACCCCTTCTTTGCTGCCCTTCATTAGATAAGTATATTAATATTATTAAGGGAAATTACAATGCCGTTTAAACCCACGTCAATTAGTATCCTGAAACATAACCCGATAATATCTGACTAAGTTATTAGCGAAATTCAGTCTCGTCAACAAGCTAACAAAGGTATGAGTCACAAAATCTGTCAACAAACTCCACACATCTAACATTCAAACAATGTATGCTACAATGTGTCACTTAACTTAGTGCTTACAATCCACTATACTGAAGAACAGCATCGACGACTGTTCAGTGATCAACTCCTAAGTATGATAAACATTATCGAAATCCATTTATGCACTGGCAAAGAATATTGACAAGGGTTAGAAACATGGTTACTAAAACAAAGAGCTTATCACAACGACGAGTTATATCTGATGCTAATTATATGGAAACGAATCAAGAGGAATTTAGTGTTTTTTTGTTATTAAGTAAATCAATCTCATTAATTTATACAGTTTATCGATGAGAAATATCAACAATGGAATTAAATTGGTATTAAATCAAAACTGAACGTTTCCTGACACCAAACTGGCGAAAAATATAAATCTACCACTTCTACACAGAATATCCACCAAGGACTATCTTCATAAGAAACGGCACTGTAACAAACGTAAGTATTCAACACTTGAATTAAACAGGTGTATTAAATTAGATTATATTTTTACTAGTAAATTGATTGTCTACTATTTCACCATTTAGTGAAATCTATTTTGGTGGTTTTGTTCTCTAAGCTGAATAGTTTGGTCGTGGAGCTTTCATCGTTCTTCTGAACGACATCATCAGAACAGACTTCACTTCTATCTGAAGCTCCATAACCAAACTATTCAGCTTAGAGAACAAAACTCCACCAAAATCATCCACCTGAACTATAAATCTCCGCCATCTCTGTTAAATCTATTCTAGCACGAAATCCAGATTACAGATGTTCCTGACTACCTCCGTTAGTATGAAGCTCTCTGAACATTGGCCTACGGACTTGATGAGGGAAAACTGATACATAAGAACATCAATACGACTAAAACACTTCACAACACCATAATATTTAAAGAAATCACAATTGTTTTAATAATAATAATGAAATATATAATTATTCAATAATGACAGGACCAAACTTATATCCATACACTTTTTTTTCTGTAAAATAAATAAGTTTAGTAAATTAACGGAACTATATAATAAACAAACAATATGGGGGGGGGAAATATTTGAATCCACAATTACTAACTATTTAATATGCAACAACCTTTAAAAAAAATGTTTGAACGAGAAAAAGAACAAAACAAAACGAGAATGTTTTTTTTCTTTCAATGTTGTAGATTAAACAGAATATGAAATGAATAATAATAATAATAATAATAATAATAATAATAATAATAATAATGGCAACAGTAATGTTAATAATAATAGTAATTGCATGTCTTTTAAAATTTGACGAATTCTTTGTTATACAGAAACTGGGATACGTACGAATTATTTTAAATGCTAATCAAATAGTCCACCATTTCATTACTATCAATAAACTATATGTAATGTAAATAGAATTAACAACTGTAAAATGTGAGCAACTTTCAATGATGATACACCATTCATTATTCCAGGCGTACTTGTAACTATCTTAGGATTATCTAAAAATAAAATAAAAATGATCCATTAACTAACCAATTACATAATCAAATGTAGTACGCTTTAAGTACAGTTCACTGTAAACGAAATGTTTAAACAGAAATTACCTCTGTGATATCATTTCAAATAAATGAAATCGATTTATTATTTCCTTTTTAATAGTAGTTATCTATGTAATTACATTTAAGTTAGTAAAGTAGTGCATCATAGATTGTTTTCAACTTCCATTTAAATTGATTTCATTGCATGCCTGGTGTTAAGTAACGGGCAGTTATTAATTCGAAATTTGAACGAAGGAGGAACTGTTAGAACTAGTAATGTTAAACTTGAACCATACGACTTCAAAATGAGTTTAGTTCCGTTGGAAGTTTCAAAAACAATTCTATGTACAAGTGGAACTATAGGTCAATGAATTCACAAGCAATAAATGAAACCACAAAATAACCCTAATAATAATTCAGATGGATGTATTGTGTAGAGTTTAGCTGAGGTGATTTTCTAGTCGAAGACAACTTACTACTGTCTCCATGTTAACTTATGAATTTTACTCAAACCTATATGAGCATACCCTATGCAAATAACAAGAGTAACTAGTTAAGAAATTACAATCTAAGTAATAACCCATAATCAGTAACTAAAAAGACCAAACTGGAAGGATTATGCTGTCATGAAAGTGATCAGAATAGAAGTGAACTAAAATAACGTAATATAAAAGAATTGGTACAGCCCCATAAAAACTGTCAATTCCCATTAAGTTAAACACCTTGCTGTTTTATTTAAAATCCCAGCATAATCGCGTGGAAACTTTCACCACTACACTACAGTTTTTGTAAATATTTCAAAAAAAATCAGTAACATCAAGAAGTATCAATATGAACTATTTAATGAAATCCAGACTATCAATTCTCACACATTGTATGAACGTATATATTTAAAAGCACCGAAACTTTGATAATTCAGTTGGTTTTTATACAACATTAAATAATGATCGCTACTAAATTCAAATGCTTCAAGGCATTCTAAACAAGTCTCATTACTGATGGAACGTACCAGTTATACACATTTTATTACCGAAAATGTTGTTAATGTCATCTAGAATTTTCCTTCAAGACTTCACAAAGGAGCAGATGAGCAATTAATCTCAAGTTTACACAAAGTAGAAAATTCTAATCTATTTTTTTATGAGAAATGTTTAGTAATTCTAAGCATATTTTTAAGCATCATTCTAAAAATCCGTGAAGACTATAAATCAATATTTCATAAAACAGACTGACTTAACTTTACAATTCATGAAGATCCCCAACATTTAATTATTCATCTTCACATTTTGAACTTGACGGATCAGGAAAAATGTAGCAAGAGAGTACTGTGTATGTTCATGGCTTTAAAATAAACTCAAGGAGCAGCTCTATTAGAGGAAAATTTTTGAAGTCAATATGGATACCGAGGAAATGTCAAATTACGGAAGTAACGATACTAGCTTCGTTTCTAGGTTAAATACAGTGGTAGACACTTTCACACAGGATATTTCGGCATCCATGGCGTAGAGAAATCCTCTGTCCACAAAGCCCACGATAAAATAGACATAAATGCCAGACAACCTGCATGTATGAAAACCCTAAGATAGTAAGAATATCATAAGTTAACCATAATACTATCACACCTAGTACTCCAAAAATATCTAGAGACATTAATTACCATTCATTTAAGATATCAACTAACTATTTCAGCGAAATTAAAATGTCTTACCTCAGAAGCTAAAACTTATCTACGCTTCTAGTCATAGTTTCGAATAAATAAAAACATCAGCTTGACGAGAATTATTTTTCAGCGATCACTTATGAATTATTATGACCAGTTTGAATACGAATTGCTAAGATACAGAAAGTTGTGGTTGAGTATATTAACCTAAACGAGCACAAAACTAACTCCCAGTAAGATACATACTATGGACAAAATAGAAAAGATTGCTACCATATTAGTTATTTACTCACTAATAAATAGTAATGAACCCATAACTGTCACCTCAAGACATAAAAATTTAATCTAGCCATTCAGCCGCAGGATATGGAATCAGTATACCAAATAATAATGACATCGTAAGAAAAGTGAAATCACCTAGTCATAAATCGTGATGAATAGGGGACAAGCCACAACAAAACATCATGCATAATACAACACTACAAGAGCTTCTAACCTGTAGTTCGGTATTTTTCCTGTTCACTTTCCATGCTCGAAGACACAATTTCCGCGGTACTTGTCTCACTTTCTTGAAGAGTAGTCTTTAGACTCACCGAGGACTCTGACTCCGTTGTTCTCACATCCAAAGACTCCTCTCCAACCACATTGGCAATCACAGATTTGTTACTTTGTCGTGTAACATTCAACTCTGTATCAGAGGACTCGGATGAAACATTGTCAGTACTTGATGAAGTGTCCCTAGTCCCTTCAGATCCCACTGGAGTATAGGTGCTAGTTTTGCCAGTAACATCAATATCAGTACTTGCTACTGAAGCAACATCAGCAGTCTCTGTACTTAATGTCATAGCCGAAGGATCTGTTTGTGTCAAAGTTGTAGATGATAACGTTGTATCGCTAAGGTTATCAGTTGACTCAGATGTAGAACCAGTAAACGAATCATTTGCATTGCCAGTTGTTAAAATGACACTCATGAAAATAGCATAGAAAATAAAATGGATCATGTACACTCCACTATAACAATAAAATAACTTTCGACTATACATTCCAATAGTTTACAATGATGCAATTAATTTAACTAAACTGATTTGAATACTATAAAAAATCAACAATAGTTCTGATGTTAAATTTTAAAATGAATCAATGATTGATTTATATTCGTTGATCCACAGCCCAATTTATAATAAATCTGCCCATCTAGATAGATTTGATCGATCGATATATTTCTCTATAGTTTAGCACAAACTAATAATTTGATTGGTTTGTGAAATGTTTTCTATCATTCATGATGATGATGAGTGGGCAAATCAGAATACTCAAATAATATTCGAGTATGACGAATGCATATGACACAGTAGAACATTTAAGCCCACACACACAAAAAACAAAAACAAGCTCCAGTTCTAGGATGAGGATCTACTACTATAAGCGGATTGATAATTGTAGCCTATTCTTATGTTATACTTAGAATTTAATGCTAAATGACTCGGAATTTAAGAGTTAGAATTTAGGCACAACTGTATGTATATTTCTCATACATAATAAATGTGGTCAGCATAATGATTATCAACTTTACAGGATATAATATTGTTGTAGCAGTTGTAAACATCTGAAAGCCACTTGAAATAAATGAACTATTTCTTCAAGTATTGTTTTTAGGGTAAACATTGACAGTCCCCAGTATCTTGTGTTATTCAACCTACAAGATGAAGTCTCCATATAACATTTTAACAGGGTATAACTCTGTGGGGAGAAGAGATTGTCGTTGTAATCTATAAGTAATAAAGTTGATTCTAAATTGACTTTATCATGGCTCACATCTGAACTATACAGTGCCAAATGCATTGAAAATGTACATATTTGATGTTAAGATAAAATACAAATAATCGGTAATATTTTCAACAATCACTAGAATTTTTATTTATATTACTTCCTAAATTACTATTTTTAGGCTTGAACATAACATCAGTTTTCTGATAATCATTCACCTCGGCGGCCTGCTTGATCATCTGGGCTACCTGTTGCTGCCATCTAGATATTTCAACTGAAAAGTGTACAACCTTTCGTTGTCAAAGTTACAAACAACTCAATAAGAGACAATGTGGTTGCTGGCAATATACAACGGAAAGAATGCACATTATTCAGATGTTCATTTACTGAACTGCTAACATCTAACTGGCGATCACTCAATATTTATCGCCAGGACCGACCAAGAAGAAAGAAACGGAAACTTGTTGAAATACTTTACGCTGAGAATTCTATATTGTACCAAAAATATAATATTGAATAAAGCTGATAATAATAATAATAATAATAATAATAATTTTTAAAAATTGTCGTGGTGTGTAATCACTCTACTCATAATAGAGAACTATCTTTTAGATTCCTAAGCGTGGAAGCAATAGGAAACTTTTAAACGAATAATAATGGTCCTGAGTTTGAATCTCATGAGAACTCCGCCTGGAGTCCCTTCGGGGGCTACTGCCGGTCCCAAGCCCGGATAAAGGAGGAGAGATGGGCATGGAGTTAGCGTCCCCATCCCGTAGAAAGCTAACTCGATACAAAAAATGCTAACCAGAAAAAATTATTCAAACCTTTTAAACTCTGCCCTCGGAGTTAGAAGGTCTTCATTTAGAAGAACTATAACGCCTCATGATGAAAGCCGAATTCCTTCTGAATTTACGAGGCCGACGCCTCTTCTGACAACCAGAGCGACCATTTATTTAGGTACATGGAATGTTCGTACAATGTGGGACACCGGGAGAGCCTTCCAAATTGCTGCAGAAATGAGAAGATAAAACCTAGGGGTACTTGGGATCAGTGAAACACATTGAACGCAAGTTGGACTACAACGACTAACTTCAGGAGAGCTCCTGTTATACTCCGGCCATGAAGAAGAAAATGCACCACATACACAAGGAGTTGCGTAGATGCTATCCAAACAAGCACAAAATGCGCTTATAGGATGGGAATCTCATGGACCAAGGATCATCAAAGCCTCCTTCAAAGCAAAGAAAGAATGCATTTTAATGAACATCATCCAATGCTATGCGCCTACCAACGACTACAATGAAGACGCTAAAGATCAATTCTACAATAGGCTGCAGTCAATCATCGAGAAGTGCCCAACAAAGGACCTGACCATTCTGATGGGAGATTTCAATGCCAAGGTTGGAAAGGACAACACAGGATATGAAGACATCATGGGACGACGTGGACTGGGAGAAAGGAACAGAAATAGTGAGAGATTTGCAAACCTATGTGCCTTCAATAAACTGGTCATAGGCGGCACCATATTACCACATAAAAACATACACAAAACCATATGGACTTCACCGGATCACACTACACAAAACCAAATCGACCACATCTGCATCAACAAAAAGTTCAGGAGGGCGATGGAGGACGTGAGAACCAAGAGAGGAGCTGATATAGCATCAGATCATCACTTGCTGGTCGCCAAGATGAAATTGAAACTTAAGAATTACTGGACAATGGGGCGGACAACACCACAGAAGTTCAATACGGCCTTTCTTCAGGATACTGACAAACTCAACAAATTCAAGATAGCCCTCAGCAATAAGTTTCAGGCCTTTCATGATCTACTCAATGGAGAGGGAACTACTATGGAGAGCAACTGGAAAGAGATAAAGGAGGTAATCACTTCAACATGTCATGAGGTTCTGGGCCACAAGAAGCACCATCACAAGGAATGGATCACTGTTGATACACTGGATATGATTTAAGAAAGGAGGAACACGAAGGCAGCAATCAATACAAATCAAGAGCGGTGAAGCAGCAGGATCAGACAATATTCCAGCGGAAGCACTGAGAGTAGACGTAGCAGTAACTGTGAAGATACTCCACATTCTCCTCAGCAAAATTTGGGATGAAGGACAAGTACCAACGGACTGGAAAGAAGGAAACCTGATCAAGATATCAAAGAAAGGCGATCTCAGAAAGTGTGAGTACTACAGAGGCATCAATCTTCTCTCAATACTAGGAAAAGTCTTCGACAGGGTGTTGTTAAACAGAGTGAAGGACTGCGTAGTCGCCCAACTTCGTGACCAACAGGCAGGATTCCGTAAGGATAGATCGTGTACAGACCGAATTGCGACACTACGGACCATTATGGAACAATCAATTGAATGAAATTCATCACTCGACATCAACTTCATTGACTACGAAAAAGCATTTGACAGCGTGGACAGAATAACATCATGGAAACTTCTTCGACACTACGGCGTGCCTCAGAAGATAGTCAATATTATACAGAATTCCTATGATGGATTACACTGCAAAATCGTGCATGGAGGACATTTGACAAAGTCGTTCGAAATAAAGACCGGTGCCAGACAAGGTTGCTTACTCTCACCCTTCCTCTTTCTCCTGGTGATCGACTGGATCATGAAGACGTCAACATCTGAAGGGAAACACGGGATACAGTGGACATCTAGAATGCAGTTGGACGATCTAGACTTCGCAGATGATCTGCCCCTTCTATCTCAAACGCAACAACAAATGCAGGAGAAGACAACAAGTGTAGCAGCAGCCTCAGCAGTAGTAGGTCTCAATATACACAAAAGGAAAAGCAAGATTCTCCGATACAACACAGCATGCACCAACCCAATCAAAATTGACGGAGATGATTTGGAAGATGTAAAAACCCTTACATATTTGGGCAGCATCATTGATGAACACGGTGGATCTGATGCAGATGTGAAGGAGCGGATCGGCAAAGCAAGAGCAGCATATTTACAACTGAGGAACATTTGGAACTCAAAGCAACTGTCAACCAACACCAACGTCAGCATTTTCCACACAAATGTCAAGACAGTTCTACTATATGGGGCAGAAACCTGGAGAACTACGAAAGCCATCATCTAGAAGATACAAGTGTTTATTAACAGTTGTCTACGCAAAATACTTCGGATCCAATTGGTCGGACACTATTAGCAACAACCTACTGTGGGAGAGAACAAACCAGATCCCAGCGGAGGAAGAAATTAGGAAGAAGCGCTGGAAGTGGATAGGACACACAATGTGGAAAGCACTCAACTACGTCACAAGACAAGCCCTCACATGGAATCCTCAAGGCCAAAAGAGGAGAGGAAGACCAAAGAACACATTACGCCGATAAATGGAGATAGACATGAGAAAAATTAATAAGAATTAGATGGGACTAGAGTGGGTTGGAAAATGTTGGTCGGCGGCCTTTGATCCATTAGGAGTAACAGGCGAAGAAGAAAAGAAGAAGAGTTTGAATCTCGTGAGATGAGGTCGTGGATGCGCACTGTTATGGAGTCCCACAATAGAACGAAACGGCCGTCTAGTGCTTCCAGGTTTTCCATAGTGATCTAGCTTTAATTGATTCATGATCACAACTACTGAATAAATATAGGTTAGAAAGTAACTACTCACAGATCTACAAGCAATTTTTATTTATTAATTACGATAGGCATCAATGACAAGATTGGACTTGATAGTTTCAAACAAATTGAATATCAGGATACTACAAATATATTGTTTTTATTAATTTCTACTCAATTTTTCTGAAATTATCAAGTCAAACCTTGGTAATGATACTTACAAACTCATTATTAATTGGGTAGAAAGTTAATAATAAATGTGTTTTCTGTTATATCCCAAGTACCATTTACTTACTCTCAAGAATTAGCTTACACTACGTCACGTTACGTCAAAAATACAATTTTTCTTGAGATTAGATGGTGGTTGGAGGTAGTCGACAGGAAACCATGGACCCGGGTTTCGTGTTACTTGGCACTTGTCAGCAAGGTGTACCTGTAATCTTGAGGGAACTGGTGCTCCCTGGCGGATTCGACCCCGTGTCACCCAGCTTCACAGTCAGAGACGTTACCACTGAGCTATCCGTGCCGCGATCTAATCTCAATATATAGTGCACACAGTGTCGAGTCACCTAGACTGGTGACCACATCGCAACATGGTCGATAGGATTCGATCTGCACTAAATAAGGACTTGATACACATAACATTGATCACCACCCAGTGATCAATCAATTGTGGATACAATTTTTCTACTCATTGGGACATAACAAAAAATAAATTTTTATTATTCATTACAATGTTTGATACTCAATACGCTCAAAATATTACAAATTGATGGGAAATAACTTTTAATGTGATGTTGAATTTACGTTCTGATTCTATGAGGATCTACCAGTAAAACTATTCCAGGTCGATGTTGTAATAAACGATTAGCAAAAGTTAGGGTAAGACAAAATTGACTTGTCAGTTCAATGGATAAAAGTATACCATTCTAATAAATGCTAACTTATGATAAATAATAAACTAACATCCATTACAATCGACATTGATGAATTTCACTGATCATTGATTCCCATTAGAACGCCGGGAATTTCCTTTCAAAGTTATACTGTGGTGGCAAGGTCACATATGTCCACTGTTGAGAAGTCCCATACTAGGACAAAACAGCTGTCTAGTGCATATATATAATCTCCACAACCCCCATTACCATGTTTTCTCCACTAGCTAACTTCGAGAAGAAATTTCAATAGTTCTAATGAAAAGCCGTGGTCATCGGAGTTCAACTGTGTCTAGTGTGAGGAAAGTACCCAACGAAAATAATATTCAATATATATAAAATAAAATATCGGTATATCTGCTACATTGACTTTATAATTATTATCATTCATTAACAAATAGACCCTATGAATTCAGTGGGATTCATGATGTCTATGAAATTGGTGGGTCGGAGCTGTTTCAAAAAGATGAGATAGTTTATAGCAGCTCATATATATTTGAGTTTGTTCACATTGAATTTCGATAAGCCATTTTATGAACTTATTTAATAGTCACAGTCATCCGTACATTAACAACTTATATCATTGTACCTTTATTATTGTTGCACTTGTATGAATATGTATGCTTGAGCATTGCTTACTACCCACGCATATATTCATTCTGCTAGCCTTACTATTAGTCGCTTAATTGATTCGATAATTCATTCATTCACTATATATATACATTCTAATCCTGTTCATTGGCTCACTCGCTAGCCTGGTTACTTTTCAGTACTACTCTTTCATGCTTGCTTAACGTACATGTAAATTTGGTTATCTGTGAGTGATGCAATAATAAACTTAATCAACACTTCGTATTCACCTTTTGATTAACACAGCGCTGTGGTATTATCTAGTGACAGTTATCAAGGCGAACTATATATGAAGTTTAAGGATTATATTGAATACCGACCTCCACAAGATACTCGTTCCCTTTCAATCCAAAACAACTAAACATATTAGTGTTGATTTTTATTGAAATAATAAACAAATCCATGTTAGACTACTATTGAAAACCTGAAAACACTACATGGCCGTTACGTCCTAATATGGAACCCCTCAGGGATGCGCATCAACGACCCCGCACGTGGGATTTGAACCCAAGACCTTCAGTCTCGCGTGAAAACCCTTAACCTTAAGTCCACTGAGCTGCTACCCAATGGTGTTATTGTCTAACTTCCCCCAATCCACGATATCTTCCAGTTGTGTTGAATTTTACTGTGACGATTGAATGCTTTGGTACAAAGTATTAGATCATTACTTATCGTACATTTTGTGCTCAACAAATCCTTCCACGGTGATTTTACAAGACATTGACCTTTTGGTTAGGCCTCACTCTTGATTTTCACAATCATAAAGCTCATTCTGATTTCAATTGAAATTAAATTTTTTTCACTCTTGTTTATGAATAATTTTAGTTTCCGTATCCTACTTTTATTCCATTCTAATGTTTACTTCCTTGTTTCATATTTCATTTGACTTAATTTAGGTCGACTGTCCAGTGCTTCCAGGTTTTCCATGGTGGTCTAGCTTCAATTGACTCATGATTTCAATCAGTGAAATTTCTAAAATCTCCACAAAACCCCTTCTGATAATAACTATTTCTTATTATTAGATTTTGTTTATGAAAGCTCTTGGGAATTTGTTTTTCGTTTAATTGTAAAGGTTTGTTCAGGTATTTTGAATATATTTAACACATAATTGTTTGAGATGGTAGAGAACCATATATGGAGTAATTCAAACACTTCACTTCGACATGAAGTTTGTGCTGATGATGTCGTTGAGAATAACGATGAAAGCTCCACGACCAAACCATCCAGCTCAGAGAACAAAATTCCATCAAAAAATAACTGTTTCTACATGGATAGTATCGTAGATATTGTCAAACAATTGTGTTTTCAACATTCAACTAAACTGTACACACATAGTGAGTAGACACTAGTCATTCTTGGAATTCACTTCATTATCTGATAACAAATAATTTCACGTCGTAGGTTTTAGCTGTTTGAAAAGACATTATTTCGATTAGGTTTACATTTAGTGATAATTATTCATATTATATGTAATATATTAAAAAATTCTCAAATTTAACCAGTGAATAATTAGTTAATACTCCAACTTTATGTTCATTATACGTGCGTTTTACCCACCTCTCTAGTCCTTTCCTAACTTCCTCTTCAGCTAGAAGTTGATTTGTTCTCCGCCACAAAATGTTGTTGCTGATGGTATCTGGTAAACGAATCTGGGGTATCTTGCGTAGACAACTGTTTGTAAATACCTGTACATTTTCGATGATGGTTGTAGTAGTTCCTCATATTTCAACTTGAGAAAGATCATAATTTTCCACAAGAAGCACCTTAAAAGTAATAGTTACTTTATTCAAGACTACAGTTCTGGTAACAATAAAGGATTCTCTGCACAAAATACACAGTATTTGGATTATTATACGAACTAGGAATCCCTGAAATAGCGCAGTTTAAAACAAACAGAACTAGGTGATCACAAACGAACGTATTGTATTTAGAATTCAAAATCAGGCAGTCATCAAGTATAAGAGAATTATTAGTTCATACAAACACCACATTATGTCATCCATCTTCAACAGTGAATGTTTTTGATTATTTCAGCATTGTATGACCAATTCCAATGTATTCTTCTCTCGGTCCTTTAAAAATCATAGTTACGAATAAGAGTATGATAACTCCTATGGTATTTCCGTTTTTATCTTATGCTATGTTCAGTATAAACACTGCTAGTACCAATACACTCACATGAACACTGATTAAAATCTAAATGAACACTAAGTGTACTGTTAGTACTAATTAAAAATATCAAACTACTTATAAAGTTAATCAAAATTCAACTAATAAATTGTTCTAGCTTATCTCTTTTTAGAAATTATAGTTCAAAGGACAAATGGCTTTTTAGTTAATGAATCAAAAATTGATTCTTGTTAGGATTGTACGTAATTTTCATTAATCATTCATCAAATCTTTCACTAAGACTGAATTGAATTACCTTGCAAAATTTGAAAACTTGATACAGTTACAAAATATTAATAGTTCAATTCATGAGTCGATGTAAGCTAGACCACCATTGAAAACGTGGAATCACTGTACAGTCGTTTCATCCTAGTATGGGACTACTCAGTAGTGCACATCCACGATCCTGCATGTAGGACTTTAACCCAGGAATTTCGGTTTCGCGCGCGAACTCTTAACCTCTAGACCATTGAACCAGTATCCAACGGTATGAATGTTTAACTTCAATTGATCCATGATCTTGCGCAACCATTCATCCATTGTCTGAGGTAGATACCTATCTCTATCCGACACAGATTGGACTCCACTGGTCAATGTTTCTCAGCGAATCCATCTTGAAACCAGTCACTAGTGAGTACATGATGATGATTATTAGAATTCAACTATTAAAATTACTGCAATCTCCATAAACCTTCATTCGAATTACAAAATATTAGTTATAAATTCTTATTAACTCATTAAAACAGATATCATTCATAGACGTTTTACACTGACATAAAAAATCTATCTAAACTACAAGGTCATTATGTAAAATATTCGTTTTGAACATTTGATATTTTGTTGACCATGTACATGTATGTGTGTGTGTGTTTGTATTTATATATGTGACTTGTTTCATTATTTTTTGTATGCATATATTTGGATTAAACTTTTCGTTCACACAAAATACAACCTTGACGCTAGTGAATACCGGAAGTCAATTCTTTCTATTAAATTATCAATCAATTAACACCCCTTCCATTTCCATTCTCATTCTGTATATGATTGTGAAATATAATTTAGTTGTATCTAGGTTTGTTTATTGATCACGTTATACATTTTATATCAAACATTTTCACAATTTATTGTATTGTAGTTGCCTTATCAAATATCACTGATACATATCCTGATTTTTTTTAACTAATCAGTATTATACAGAGACAAAAAAGAGAAAGAGATCTAGAGAAAATAAGTAACAGAGCTCATACTGTTGAATACTTCATTCTGGAAATAAAATAGTTCTACAGATTATAACATACTAAATAAAAAAAGAACAAAACGTTAAATTTGTATACAAATATGCAAGTGTTCAGTACAATTGTCATTCAGTTTATTTTGCTTCTATACACTACCAATTATGTTATATCACTTAAATGTTATCAGTGTAATTCACATAATGATAATGCATGTAATAGTATTACTGATTCACGAGAACGACCTAAAGAATGTCCACCACATCTACAAGCATCATGTAAAACTATAGTTCAGGTAAGTTGATAAATATAATGTTTGTTTATTTATGATATAACATGAATAAATATTATTCACCTAGTGATAATCTGTAAGAAAATGCTTTTTGAATAAAATACAATTTTAAAAACGTTTTCAGTATCACCTTAGATCACTTCGATTGATGGTAAGAATTATCTACAAATTGTATAACCATCTATATTTATTAATGTTTAGTATGAGAGGGATTACTTAAAGTTGTAATGGGAAAACCATGAAGTACGAAATAATTGAAGCTTACAGTGTATTAGTTACACTTGTCAATGAATATGGTAATAAATTTGAAAATGTACATCATTGAAATCTGAATAATTGACTGAATAGCTTTGTTTTCTCTGGATTATACCTAAAGAAATTGGATTTGATTTTATGTGGAATACCTGTTGGTTGGTATTTAATTTTCTACAAATCCATAACTGATGTCAGTTGATAATGAAAGTTATCTTCAAAGTGTTAATTGTCTAATTAGAAATTTTCCACATTAGCTAAAATTAATTGGATGAATAACAAGGATATATATTCATACACTGAAGTTTTTTAGGTCACGAACCAATCTTATTCGGATCATCACTAAAAACCTGATAGCATTAGACAGTTATTTCGTCATAGTACTGAAATCCTCAATAAAATGAAACAGCTTTCCAATGCTCAGTGGTTTTTAGTGGTGGTCTAGCAAAGATCAGTTGCTAACCTAAAGTATGGAAATCCTATAATTTTCTAAAATTCCATGATAATAATGATCACGTGTTCACTAGGGTCTAGTTTAAAGACCCTATCCCTGCAATACAACTGAGAATCGGTAACCAGTGGAGTTTAACTATGGGAGTTAGACAGTTATTAGAAGCCATATTCATTTATTCAATGATCAGCTGATACATTCTAGTAATTTCTTTAGTAAAGATGAATGCTCTTTCGAAAAAATCATAGCAAGAACTATATTTAAACAGTTCAAGTTCCTATTTAACTGATTATTGGTAGTGTCTTTATAAAAAAGTTTCGTATGTCTTTAATTCAATTTCAGGACAGAATATTAGTATGTAATTTTCAACTACGTTTAAATAATTCTTCAATACCTTCTGGTTTTCTTTATTGATATCTTCAAATGTAAATAGGTCCTTTTTGAAGAACCCTCGGAGAGAATATGATTTCTGAATGAACCAGTAAAATCAAAGATATCACATCTTGAACTAGAGTAAAATTCGTTCATTCATAGGGCAAAATAGCATTTCGGCATCATAGCTAATTTCAATTCGTGATGAAAACCCTAACTACCGTAGTGAACGGAACATGGGTGGGGACAATCGAACGTATTTAACACAAAATTACAGGACTTGTTCATAAAATTTAACAATAATAAAGTAAATGCCTAATTTGCAAAATGTTCATCAATTGTCTCAAAATGACTCAGACTTCATTGTTCTTGCATTCTCATACAAATTGCATCCTGTTTCCATTCTTTACTGTTCGATCCTCATGTCTCTCTGCTGCCAGACCTTCTGTTCACGACTAACATCATATAATACTTATATCAATATAAGGAGCACACACCACACTACATCCCCAAACCTTATCTTCTAACTGTTGTTCCGAATCCTTATCCCCTACAATAACTCATAACCCTCTGTTGACTCTAATGAGTAGTTGAACCTTTTCAAGATCGCTTTAGCATCACTTAAGGATCGTCCATAAATTAAAGCCTCACCGGACCTTCTTCAATTCAACGATTTTATTTTTAAATAAAAACGGGAAATCAGAAAACCAACTCGGTAAAGCAAGAACAGTGTCTGACTGATAGTTTTGGTAGATATAAAGTACATAGATGAAGCAGTCAAACTAAAGATAGAGACTTTAGGTTCTTATCTCGAAAACCAAAACAGAATAATAGATAGCTGGAAACTAATTAGGAATTATGTAAAAGCCCAGTAGAACTTACTGATGCTCAGCTACTTAAATGCCGGAAATTGACACATATTAGAGGTCTAAAGACTAGGAATGAATATCAGTGAACCTTATGATGGTGGAGAATTTATCAGTATTTCAGAGGAATATAGTAGAAAACAAATTGATCTTAAATATGTAACATATTGACGGGACTTGTAAACTTCAAAATAACCTGGAAGTTCTTAAGGTGACACTATCTTATAGACGAACCAATCAGACTTAATATGGGGCCTTATGAATATTACCTTGACATTTATTTATCCGTATGTCTACAAAAAACTCCGTCTGGAGTCCCTGCGGGGGCTACTGCCGGTCCCAAGCCCGGATAAAGGAGGAGGGTTGGGCATGGGGTTAGCGTCCCCATCCCGTAGAAAACTAACTCACTAAAAAACGCTAACCAGAAAAAATTATTCAAACCTATGTCTACAAAAACAATAATGCTTTGTAGGCAAGCCTTACAACACTAACCCTCGCACCATAGTGATACGGATCGTGATGAAAACCTGAACGTAATCCCTGACATCAACACATAATTCTCAACCTTTTTCCGTACTACAAGGAACAATCCACATGACAGAGTTCCCAATTCATGCCAAAACTCTATATTCCCTGTAATCTTATTAGCTTTTTTATAAATTCTTGTAACTAAATATTACTCTTTGATTGGCCAAATGGTCTATCAAGTTCGTCTATTGCTGTACTTTGCTATTGTACTTGTGTGTCTGAATCAATCATAAATGCAAACCAGTAATCCATCATGTAAAACAAAGTGTTCTGATATCTAGATCCTATTTTTATTTTCGAAGATGATCCTACTCATCACCAACTAACAGGATATGTGCTCATAGTATATGCATGGAAAATTTTACTCAAAGGATTATCCAACATGAAGATGATAGAGAAAACATAAATATTTACGATGTATGACATCCTTTTGTCTACGGAATCAATGTTGAAATAATCAGCCGTACATTAGGTGCAGTTGTGTCCGTCCATAGCTACAATCTTAACCTTATAGTTTGATGTGTTTGTGACGATTCAATAGACAATTTGCCTGAAATAGTTGTTTCCTAATCTTTCACCATACCAATCAATTTGATTAGAGTATGGTGAAAAATAAAAGTAACCCTATTAAGGCTCGAAGTTATGATATATGGAAGCTGGATTTATTGGTTTGAAAGTAACGGGCTCACCTCAAGATATCTAGAAGAGTCTTTTGTTTACACTGCTCAAAAATATTATATTCTAGTGGGCAACATTCATCCAATATTAACAGGCTTCTTCAATGGTTCTCGAGATAATATTTTATGACAGTAAATTCATTGAAATTTTTCGGTACCCATGATCTCATTTGTCATGTTTTACACTCATCATTTTTAAGCATTCCATTATCTAACTATAATCTTGACATCTAAATAGAAGATTATTGATCGAATGTAGATAGTAAATTATTTAAAATAAATGACTTTTTAACCTTCTATCTGAATATACCAATTTGTCAAATTAATCTGAATCACGTACAAACACAATCATCTTGAATATTCAACATGTCTAGTACACTTTGTAGTCACATGATTATATCGAATTCTAACAAAATACTATCAGTTCATGATGACGATGATGATGATCATAACTACATGTGTAAGTATTTGTACACATAATGACGATCAGTACATATTTTGTAGTTAGCCTGGTCATCGAGAAGATGTTGAGTACCATATATAATCATTTACATTGTAATGTTAAATTGTTGGTAGACTCAACTTTAGCTTTAAGATGTGCTATGTGACTAGGAAGGAGGGTTGACAGTAGATAGTGAATTGTGTTTATGAGGAACTAGGAGAGGAAAGAACGAAAGAAAATTTAAGTCGACGACAACTCAATAATTATATATCAAATGTACCGCAAGCATTGAGGTAAAAACACTATATGGTAAGTGTAACTGAAGTTTGATAATAAAAAGCTTTAAAAAATGAGCTAGTCATTGATGAAACACTAATTGAATTAGTGTAAAGCCATTTAGGTATTTTAAATGTCCACAAATAGAATGTCTATCGGGTAAATATCTAAATAGAATTATTTTATAAGCAAAGATAGGTGGTGGCTAGCAGTGGGATCCAGGACGCGCGTTTTGCCCTATTTGGGACACGTCAGCTCGGGATACCTGCACTATTCTAAAATCCTTTGAGTTGGGATTTAATTTAATGATCAATTTATTGTCTCTTCTAATCAATCGTAACTTCATGATAAACTGAATAACTGTTGGAAAAAAAAGAAGTGATAAGATTGAAGTACGTTTTCAACAATGAATAGACTGACTTAGAGAAAAATCTAATCACCTAACTACTAGATTCTAGTGTCATCATTATAGGGACTGATTGTTTATATTTTAATCTTATTAAAGTTTTTAATGGAGTATGGACAATTGTTAGACTTAGTCATGATTGTCAAGTATGTGATTCAATAAGTCATACAATTGATTTTCAGCTAGTTCGGCCACATATTTATACTTTGATCGACCAATGAAGTGATTAGTTGGGTTAATGTGTTAGAAACAATACATTGAACGTAAATTGGGGTGTTATTTGTTAAATTGTATATAATTACACATTCATAGTTCCTAGGCCACTGGAGACAGTCGACCGAAAACGCTGAATCTACGTTTTGTGCTAGTTATTACTCACCGGCAAGGTGTATGTACAAGCTAAGAGGCGATGACATATAATATATAAGTCTAACTCACATCACTTAGTGTAAAAGTTAGTAACGTCACTGCTTATTTGTGCGAAATGCGACTGATCTTCAGTTGATTATTATGAACCACCTAAAATTTAAACAATGTAAACGTTGTTAAGTTACTTAAATCATTGACCTAATTGGAACACGCTTGATAGAACTCAAGGACCAGGCAAATATGACATCGGTCACTGCTTATTGATCAATGAGCGTATCAGTTCAGTATGTTCATCTCTGAATCTAGTCTCTAGTGTAGTTTTTTCACAATTATGGATGGTTTATTCTCTTTTTATGAAAGCACA